ATTTGAATAAACCTTGACTAAATATGGTACATTGCTGTTTTCAGAGTGCTCAGGTGGAAAGATTAATTTAAAATGAAAAAAACTGACCAAGTTGTGGCACGGTTAAGGAGGAAACCCTTTGCTGAGGGGGGCGCATTACCTAGGTATCCGCAGCTGAGCTGAGTCACAGTAATAGTGAGATACAGCTATGAGAAACCTTTAAGAGAAGCCAGAGTATATCCCTCAGGGGAGACCACCAGGATGTTAGTCCTGCTGTAGCTGAAGACCAGAAGAGGCTCAAGATGAGGTCTCCCATGTCCTGAGACTTGGAAGTGAGAGGGCTGGGCCAAAGTAGGCTTAGTTGCAGGTGTGAGACACTGCTGGTATTGTTACGCATTCCACTCGCGCCGCTCTCCCTTCTTGCATTCCCACGCGCACACCCTGTAAGACAAGCTCACGCCGCAAGTAAACGCCTATCACCTTTCTCTCCCATCTCTATTTTAGTTCTCCTTTTTCCTCACTTCCCCGCTCACTATTGCGGATTCTCTTCGAGCTCCCTAGTGCACGGTTTACTCTTGCTTGTCACAGGTTTTCGAACTCCTAGTCTGTCTTTTGTTTTCGCCTTCGTCTTGTGATTTGGATTGCTGCTTCCCCGTTTGTGCTTCCGTGTTCCGATCTTCTCGCCTGCTTCCTGGGTTTGATTTTTGCCTAGTGTATCTGCTCAGTGTTTTTCTCTAGTCTAGAGTCCTGCATAGGATCCTATTTCCCTAGCAGCCCTATCTAACAGGTATCCTCAATAGCAAAGAGCAGATCTACTTTATATGAGAAAGAAAGCAGAGAGACAAGTCTAGGAGGAGACTGTGGAGAAGATGTATAATTGAGAGGAGTGAAGGAGATCAGGAAAAGGGTGGTTGAAGAACAACAATTCCCTTGTTGTTTCCACAAAAGAGGATTTTGGAATAGATTTTTATTTAAAATATTTTTAAAGGATGGAAATCTTTTTTGAAGTGAGTGATTAGGACAATCCAGTGATTCTGCCGAGTGTGAGATTAGTGAGATTTGAGTTAAAGTGTTAGTGTGTAGTGTGAGTAGATTATATTTCAGAGAGGGAAGTGCGTTAGAGGGAGCCTCACAATGGGAATACAAGTTATCAGGGAAGAGTGCAAAGTTCATCTAGCCACAGATCTCTGGAGTAAGCATATCGGGGTGTGACAAGAGTGAGGGCAAACCCATGCTGATCTGTAAGTAATGGCAATGGTGACTGGGCACAGGGAAAGGTGTGCTGGCAGTTTCATGTGCACAGCAAGGATGCGAGAGTGAAATATCAGAGAAGCTGTGTGGTTTGGGTTTGTTGAGTCTCAGCATAAGTGTGAGGTATTGCAGACTGTGTGTGTTGAGTGTGTTTTGTCCCTGAGTATGATAGTAAGATGCTGAAGTTGTGTATTGAGAGTATGAGACCCTTCCTGGTGGCGTCGGAAGGACAACAAAGGCTGGAAGTGGACCTTGAAGTCCCGGGCTTGACTGTTGGTGAGATACCGAATGGCCATCTTGGAGTGAGAGCCATTTGGTAGCAGGAGGCTCCTGAGTTACAGTAAGTAGAAACACTAGGCTCTGTTAGATTGCATTGGAACAATAGGCTCCATGAATCATGTGGGAGCAGGAGGATCCAGATTAGAGCAAAGGAGCAGGAGGCCCCTTGTGTGGTGGCTAGGAACAGGGAGGCAGGCTCCATATGAGAGTAGTGTCATCGAGGTGTAGGGAAGGCCCTGAAGAGTAGCAGCCTTGGTTGTTGCCATGTTATCCTACCAGTAAGGTAAAGAAGGTGGTAGAGTGGGTCCAGCCACATAGGAATGACTGAGGCGAGAGCCTTCTACTGCTATTCCCTAAAATGGATGAGCCAGGGGTCAGGTTTTAAAAGTGAAGATGTCAAGCCCAAGAATCCACGAGTGAAGGGCTTGGTGATGCAAGCAACCTACATAACGATCTTGGAGGAAACTGGAGACTCTGGGCTCGAAATTCCATAAGCAGAGGGCTCAGAGATCCTGAGCCCACATGCCCTGGTTGCACTGATGAGATGGCCATGTACAGCACCACTCTTGGAGGAGAGTGCATATAAAGTGGAGAGAAGAGTGCAAAAAATAGTCTTTGATAGGCATATTCAAAGAGATGGACATGCCTGTTCGAGTCCAGGGTGGTGGCCACAACCCCTGTGGTGCCACAAATATAGAAGCAAATCAAATCAAAGTTTCACTATCAACTGAGGACTCGTTAACACTTAATTCATCTTTAAGTCCGAAAAATACACTCCCGGAATCTATCCCAGAAAAAAAGGGTGCTAGGCAAGATACACTATGGATTCTATTACCTGCCAATGTAGGACATTGGCCCAGTAATGTATCTGGTACTGTAGATGTTCTCTGGATCAGTTTTGATATCTGTTTTGTAATTTTGTGACCACAATTGTGTCCTAAATGATGTGTTTAGTATTAGTAGTTTTACATACAACATTTATCATTCATACAGTATTCTAAAGAAGGTTGTGATAGATCGATGATTTTAAGATAAGATCATTTAAATCTTATCCAGTTAATAAAAAAGACAAGTACTTCAGGTATTTTTTAACTATGCAGCTCTATTCTGACAATGCTTATAAATAAACGTATTCTTGCTGAAACATACTAATAATCAAAAAATTCAAAATATTTAAAAAGATCTCCATACATTTTCATTAATTGTAGAGTTCCCATTTCTTTCTCTCGGTTTTCACCTTTAACTTCGCTCTTCATGAACATTTAATTTTAATTCCCTCTGTTTTGTTATCTGTTTTTCTGTTTTTTGTCAGACAGATCCCTAGGCTGTAGTCTGAAATTTACACAACTGGGTTGACAGAACTGAGTCATCTCAGCCTAGAGCAAAGGATGCACTGAGGTTTTACTGAGGCTTTAAGAATCTTAAGGAAGATTGACAAAATAAGCCAATATCACAGCAGTCAGGCTCTGAAGACAAATCTGAAAATGGTGTGGAAACAAGTTTTTTAAAACAATATACAGAGATGTTAGGAGAGACACTGGTAACACCCATGGATATGTAATTAACTTACTTCTATTTTTTTCCTTTTGTTTATATTCCATTTTTTTGTATTGATAAATCTTTTACTGAAATTGATTTTGTTGAATAAAGAGAAGATAACAAATTCAAACTGGATACTGGTCATTTGTATTGGTGATTTGCTCACACCCCAAATCCTTCATAGTGAAGGTAAAGGGGTGTAGACAGAACTTCACAGAAAAAAAAAACTACTAGATATTATATCATTTTTCATTATTGCTTGTACAATAACTTTGTTGCCTTACCTCCCGGTATTTCAGTGAGTTCATTTAGAGGGGGTACCGTTTCCAGTGTGTTTGCATATTTCTTTGCTGCCTGTCTTTGTGCATGTCGTGCCTCAATCTCCTTTTTTGTTCTTGGGATTCGACACTTGAAGATGCAGCATAAAGTTATTACTACAAAGAAGTAAAAAAAATAAACTTCAGAAATGCAATTTTGTCACGCAATCCCACACACTCCTTGAAAACAATTAAGAGCAAAGCAACAAAGATGCATGTGAAGAAGCACTCAAAATGCAGAACTATCCATATGTTTTTTTTTTTTTAAAGGACAGAAAGAGTACAGTATAAGAGCACAACAAAGGAACTATCTGGACTCACAGCTTTGTTTTGTTCATATTTATAGATACAGATACTACTCAGTTTATTTAACTCACCCAGAACATCAGAAATATATATTAATTCGACCAAAATGTGAAAATAGTAAGAAAACATGGAAACAATGCATGGTGGACAGACATATCCTTTTCAAAAGGTAAAATGTTTCTCCATGATACAAATTTCTAAAAATATTCATTGTTTTGGTTGTTTTGGTTGTTATTTGCCTCAGAGACAAAAGTTTTAAGAAATCACTGACACATGATTTAAAAAATAATAAAATACTATACTCATAGCCTGTGGAATAATAAAATGTCACCCACACATGTCTACAGATATCAATGATTTTTGTCATTTACAAAATATCTAGACTAGCAAATAAAAAACTGAAAGAACATACAGTACAGACAACATTTGATTGATCAGAAGACTAATAAAGATCACATCTAATACATTTTCACTTAGCATTGTTGTAAACAGTATACTGTATATTTAAAATGCTGATTTTTAGAAAGAAAATTGCATGTGTATTTGGTGGCTCCAGTACAAAACAAGCATTCATGATGTTTTGCAGTATGGTAAGTTACATGACTGTGCTATGATGACTTACATCTGAAAAGTATTAATAGGCCAGCAGTTTTGCTGTAGAAAGCACTTTATCCCAAATGATCATTGCACAAACATTATTGAACTCTTTCTTATCTTGCGAAGAAGGAATCTCACTAAATCACCCACATCCCAGTCATGGTGTAATGTTGAAAAAAAATACTAATATTCTAGAATGCTTTGTTCTCAAACTCAAAAATAGAAAAATATTCATATTGTCACTGTGATTTTTCAAATAAATGTGTTACATAAGAGAGGTCTTTTAATTTGAGTAAAGTCATAAAACACAAATAATAGAATATCATTCTCAGTTTTGTTAAAAAATAATGAAGTACGGAAGACTTCTGAACTAATTATGTTTTCTTATTTCTCATTATTCATAAACAATGTTAGCCTCTAATTTAAGCTTTCAAATTTTAGAATTTTATGCTTTTTGCTTCTTATGCAAACTAAATTTAACTAACAATAAACATTATATATGTATTTACATAAACAGATCTATCCATAATTAGTTAGCCACTAATTCCTGGTAAAGTTCACAATCTTACCCAGAAATATAAGGTAAAAGAAAGGATTACATTTTGAATGGGACACCGGTCCATCAAATTTCCTAGGTTTTTGCTTGAAATCCAGCATTAAGCAAACTTCAGTTAACATTATTTTGCTTTTGAAGCTACAGGTCTTCTGTAACGTGGTTATTTATTGTCTCGGCAATTAGTAGTAAACTAAATGCATCATGCTAATTAACTGATAAAAATTAAAAAGTAACTGATCCTACAGACAAGATTAAAAATACTATACACAGTACTTGCATTACAAACACCCACTCAGTCCACCTCATAACTTCGTACACTTCTCCCTCTAGTGTCTCATAGAAGAAATCGCATGGATGTTTTATACACCAAAGAACGTTAGAACTGCTGCATATGATGTAAAGCAGGTGTCCATAATTTATTGATAGTTGCTTTCTTTTTTCCACAAACTAACAGCATGGGTTCACTGTAAAATATTTACACAGAAATACCTGTACTTACATTGAGACAGAAATAAGGCTTTGTCACCTTGGAACTCTTCTATTATTTTAAATGTTTGTAACTCTAGAATTCATTATTCTGTCCTGAAGACAACCCCTCCAGGATACATCTAATTGAATGTGATTTTAAATTAAAACATTGTTAAAACATTAGCTTTTTAGATGCATTTCAGATTAACTGTGAACCATACGTGAACTCTTTGCCTGTGATCTTGCTTGTAGAAAAGTCAGAGGTCACACAATTTCTTTAAAGAGCTACACAAATACATGAGCGGCTTTTGTCTGTGTACAATGCTAGTGGTTCTTATTATTTCAGAGTAAAAGCACCTTTCTATATGGTCCCTCAGTCAAGTACTGAATTTCAAGCAAAGATTCCACCATGAAGACCAAGAATCTTTCAAATCATGTAAGGAATTGACATGAATGAAGGCAGGGATTGGGAGCAGGGCATACAAACATTTCAAAGATCTTTAATAACTCTTTTTACATGGTGAAACGGATCATTAAGAATTGTAAGGCACCCAGATAATGCCACAATCAGGCTATCCCTCCACATTGAGCAACTGGGCAAGGAGAAAAGTAGCTAACGATGCCGCTGGGAGGGTCCTGTGGCTCAGAGGGGAGGGAATATCTATGGGTCAGTCCTCAAAAGAAGCTTGTATGCAGCTAAAAAAATAATCTATAATCCTACATTTGTTTTGCAACAAAGCACTTACAGTATGTGATACAGCAGACATGGCAAAAGTATTTACAGGCAGACAAGACAATATTGGAGCTTTTAAGTCTAAAGACAAAGTATTAAATTTAATGCAAGCCCAACTTAATTAAGTTCACACCTGCACATATTTACGTGATCAACATTTTTCATTTTTTTTCATTTTGCTGACATTTACGATTATTTTATTACCTTAAGAGGTCTTTAGTGTGAGATTTCAGGTTTTTTTTTAAAGAACTAGTTTTTTTTTTAATTGAGCGTAAAATGTTTTATGCATCACTTTGTAGTTTTACAAATTTTGATGCCATAGGACAGGTTTGAATACGTTTGCAAATCTCTGTTCATCATGATGGACATAATGAATGGCTTACTTACAGTTCTAAAACAAAACAGTGGCCGATACAAAAAACATGTAAGACATGTTCTAATAATAGAGAACAGAAAAATGAAAGTCAATCTAGTTCATTCCAATATCACAATAATGATAATGTAAACACAGAGATCAAAATGCTGATGTTTCACAACACGACATAAACAAAGAAATGTTGTTTCCCGCATATACAGTACTACAATATACACAGTATAGAAAATTAATGTTATTGAAAACTAGGTTTAATTGACTTAATTACAATTTCTGAATTCAGATAAGTGCATATTAGTGTGGTTTTCTGTTTTTTAATGGTGTAAATGAATATATTTAAATTAATGTTAATAGTTGTCATATTTGGCAAGATTCTCTAGGTGTACTATCCATTTGCCTGTCACAGTTTTCATTCATGACTGTTTCTGTTGGCAGCCATTTCTCCCTTGCCTTACAGCACCTAATACACTCTGATGATTGTTATCTTGAAGCAAACCGTAAAACATATCTGCCCTTGCCATTCTGACAACTGCTCCAGTCACTATCATACTGTACCTAAGCGTATTGCATTCAGTGCAAGGTCTTTGCTTAAGTGAAAATAATTACAACACTGATGATTGATGTGCATTTTATTTTGCCTTTTGTTAATTTTTCCATTTGTAGCAAGAAAACAGCAGCCTCTTGAAAGATAGCACCTTAAAAAAAATACAATAAAAAATACCATAAAAAATCATGTTTCCCCCATTAACTTGTCCAATATCCTAGGGGCATGGCAGCAAAGCAGTTTTAACCAGATTTATACATTATTCATTTTCTCATCTAAGTCAGTCTTGGCAAACAAATGATACATCTCAATGTTTTCTGCTCAGAATTTTCTTCAAATTTTCATTTAACTAGTAATTTCAGTGGATTGTCAGGACATTTTATGCCAACTTAGTTCTAGACAAGACAGAAGCTGTGTAAAGAACCAGTGCTTGAACAGAAGGTGTACATAACAATATAGCTACTCTAACAATAAGCCTGCACAGGAACAACACCATTTACAGACCTACTATATTGCTTTTCTGAGAACATTTCTGTTACAGTATCAATACAGAAAAAAAACAGTTTGAACTCTTTCTACCACAAGAAGCTTTAGCACATGTAGAGATCTCCCCTAGGTTAAAATATGAAATTTTAGCTAAGACTTTAAAGTTTTAAGTAAAACTTTGGAGAAGAAAAATAGTAACATTGTATTGCATATTTAGTAATATATTTTATCTTTTTACTTAGTACTTTTCGAAAACCATGTTATAATGAGGCATGAAGAATACATTATGAAAGTACACTGAGCATATTTAGAATCTTGTGTATATATATATGCTATTGTATTTATGTGAATATGTTGTGCAAAGATGACCCACAAAGTCAACACATTATCACAGGTAAACCTATATCCCAAACATACACCAATATCACAATGAAATAAGAAACAGTCCAACAGCACAGGGAATTAATGTTACAATATATAAAACCTGTGGAGTAATCTTCTCAAAAAATCTTGTTCCTTGAAATGTCATTTTTATTAACCATCATTTTAGCTGATCTAATGCCTTTCCTTTTGTTATACAGCGTTCATTCTGCATTCAGATTGAATGCTGTGGAAACTGATACTCAGAATGTAGTAAGACCCACACATAGTGGTACGTCATGGTATCTGTGTTGAAAATGTAACTATTCTCCCTCAGAACCCTCTTCTATCAGATCACTTTCCTGTCGGCTATTACATCTGAGCCAATCTGTTGTTCTTTCTCCAGGTTATCGTTTAGGTCCTGTCTTTACTTCTGCTACTGCTACAGACTTTAGAAACAAGTTCCCGGCCTCACTTACATGTATTAATCGGCCTGCTGATGCAGTTACACTTGATCAGATAAATGAAAGCTTAGAAACTACTCTACGAGATATGCTTGACAAAGTCGCACCACTTAAGACTAAAAGAGTTAGAGTACACTTATTATACTTGTTCACTCAAACAAGTCTCTCATAAACTGGAACGCAAGTGACGCTCTACTAATTTGGAGGTATTTCGAATAGCCTGGAAAGAT